GAGCTGAGTTCAGGGCTCGAACTGAACTCTTGAAGCTCAAGCAGGGTAAGCGTGATGTGCACGCTTACGCTCAACATATACGACATCTCACGAGTTGTATAAGTTCCAATCCGGTGGATGAACACACGCTGGTTTCGGTGTTCATGCAGGGTCTTGCGGATGGTCCCGTCAAGACTCACCTGTTCCGGCTTGAACTAGATTCACTAGAACAAGCCATTTCCATTGCGGAGCAGGAAGACTTCAGTCTGAGACAGGCTCGCGCCAGCTCGACATCATATCGTCAACCGAGACGATATGACAGCGGAGGTCCAGAGCCGATGGAACTCTGTTATGTAGAGAGCGAGAAGGCTCGCTCTACAGACTACAAGAAGTTGCAGAGATGCAACAGATGTCAAAAGACAGGACACTACGCTTACGAGTGTAGTGCCCCTCGTCCAGTGTCTCGCGACACTGGGCGTAGTGACCGTCCACCCATGAGAAAGGGGCAGGGACGAGGGTCCGCAGTTGGTGCAAAGACGCAACAACGGGATGGACCGTCAAAAAACGGACAGGATCAGTAGGTGCGGAGCACCCTACTGGTCCAGCAAGGTCAAGTGAATTTGTAGGCCTCTTGATGAAGGTTGCTCCCAACACACAAACGTTGTGCGTTGCTGCTCTAGGTAATGAGATCTCACTCATTACCTTGAAACTCGAAGTGACAAATAAGTTGTCCCTTCGAGCTCTAGTCGATTGTGGGGCGTCCAACAATTTTGTGCCACGCCAATCGCTAGAAGATGGTCAATTCAAGTTTGTTGAGTGTGACACACCTCCTACGAGGATGACGGTACGTCTTGCGACAGGCGCATCCGTAACCGTCATGAAGCGTATAGTGAAGATCCACTATACGCTAGAAGATACCCAATATGATGATGACGTTATCGTATTGGATTTGGATAACAAATTTGATGTCATCCTTGGAATACCGTGGCTCAGAAGGTACGAACCACGAGTAAACTGGCAACATCGAACAGTAACGATGCCTGCCGCTTGTTCATCAGATGGCCATCTGATGAACGTTTTGGAGCGTCCACAAGCGTGTGGATGTACTACGAGTGAGTGCGATGGCCTCACTTGTGGTACGGTCGTTAGTAAGACTGCACAAAACCTTAGTGTACCAAACGGTTACACTTCGGAGCAAAGTTCCGGCGGCTGTGAGGAAACACAGGCTGCGCCGAAGGTCCACCACTCGAATAAGTCGAGTGGACCGGGACAAAGATGTATCCCTAGTGAGGAACATCTAGAAGAGAAACAATTGATCGCTCAGGTTAAGCGAAACGATAATCCTGGATCGACTGGAGAGTCTTTCGTAGAGGATCTCGCTGTGGTTGCGGAACCCCAGCTAGAGGAAGTAAAGAGAATAAGTCCCAAGATTACAAATACGGCGGAAATAAGTTCCCCGAAACCCGCGGGAATAAGTCCCCGGGAAGCCGAAGGAATAAGTCCTTCGAAGCCTGAGGGAATAAGTCCCCAGGAAATGACAGAGACATTGAATGTCATAGTCAATAACGGATCAAGTGTAGGCGCTTATACACTTGATCTGATTGCGCCTCCGAAGTTAACTTCGGAGATCACTCAGTTGCCAACGCTCGAACATAGAAGGTTCTTGCGTGATCTGCGTAGTGGCAAAGTCAAGCAGATCTGCGTACTCGTCGCTGACGACGAGTGTGTATCCGACAAAAGGTCAGCAACAGTGTTTACTGAGAACGAGAGAGTTCTCAGTAGTTCATCTATGGACGAGAGTGTCCTAGATGAAAAGACACGAATTGAGCGATATGACTCCCAATCGTGGGAATCGCTCAAGACAAATCCTCTCTACGAAGATTTGGCTGAAATCAAGATTTTTTGTCCTAAAACTGTTCCGTGCGAGTTACCGAAGGATAAAGGTATTCGACACGAGGTCGAGCTTAAACCAGGCTCGAAGTACTGTGTCATGAAGCAGTGGCCACTGCATCGTGAACAAGTACTTGCGATCGACAAGTTCTTTGCCGATCGTTCAGCTGCGGGCCATGTGAGGGAATCGACTTCCCCACATAGCTCTCCGACCTTCTGTGTGCGAAAAGCAACAGGAGGGTGGCGGATAGTGCACGCGTTCAACAAATTGAATGCTGCAACGGTACCGGCTCAGACGCCGATACCGAGGAAGGACGTAATCATTGATGGTATGTCAAAGAGTACCATCTTTTCGTCCATGGATTTGATGGATGGCTTCTATCAAATCCTTATGCGCGAATGGAATATACCCTATACCGCAGTCGGCACGCCTAGCGGCATGCTCTGGGAATGGCTAGTGATGCCACAAGGTCTTAGTAATGCCCCTGCCACGTTCAACAGATGTGTATCACATCTGTTAAGACCAGTACGAGAATTCGCGCCGAGTTATTTCGATGCCATATTCATCCATAGTCGAGCTATGGATGGAAAGTCGGACGTTGAGGTTCACAGATACCACGTCCGACAGGTTCTTACAATCATGCGAAGGCATCAATTGGATGCCAATCTCAAGAAGTGTATATTTGCAGCAAGCGAAATACCACTTCTTGGGTGCATCGTTGGTAAGAACGGTGTACGTCCTGATCCCATAAGGTCCAGGGGGCACCGACTGGCCTGTGCCAGTTGATGTCAAAGGTCTTCGAAAATTCCTTGGGCTAGCGGCGTATTTGCACAAGTATTCACGCAATTACGCCGAAATGACTGTACACCTCTCTCGTTTGCTGAAAAAGAACGAGAGGTGGTTATGGAACGCTGAATGTCAGCGCTCCTTTGAGGGTATCAAGCAGAGCTTGATACAATCCCCAGTCCTAGCAATAGCCGATCAGGACAGGCCATTTCATGTGGTCTGTGATGCCAGCGATTTCGCAATCGGCTGTGCATTAATGCAGTACGATCTTGAAGGCGTTGAACGCGTCGTCTGCTATCAGTCGCGTCAGCTGCAACCAGCTGAGCGGAATTATCCAGTGCATGACAAGGAACTCCTTGCCATGAAGTATGCACTCGCAAAGTTCAGAGTCTATCTATTAGGAGATAGACCCTTCATTGGTTACACTGACCACGCGTCATTACGCACGGCAGTGAACAGCCCGCACCTTTCACAACGAATGGCGCGGTGGTTGTCATTCTTTGCGGAATACAACTTTACGGTCGAGTACAAACCAGGACGACTTAGTGTCGTCGCTGATGCACTCTCACGTCGTCCCGACTTTGAATCAGTCGTGAAACCCAACAGTAAAGCAGCCACTGTTGCGGTTATGAGGTCCTCAGTACCATCTTCAACGTTACATGGTGATGTGAGGCGGGCGCATGCCCAAGATGGTGAGATTGTGGAGTTGTAGAAACATCTCTCCCAACCATCTCGAGAATCGTTGAAACGATTATCGTCTGCGTATCGATCTGCATCAGATCGATACACTACTCGCAACGGTTTACTGTACTATACAGCCGTTTCTGGTGACACACCACGTGTTGTCATTCCAGATGATACTGATCTGCGTTTGCGGATCATGTTCGAGTATCACGATGCTCCTATAGGAGGACATCGTGGCCGAGAGAAAACATATCTCACAGTAAGCCGAGACTTTTACTGGCCCCGCCAGTATCAGTTTGTGCGAAAGTATGTTCGCGCATGCGAAGTCTGTCAACGAGTGAAGTCAAGTCCTTCACTGCGTGCACCGTTACAGCCTCTACCGGTTCCGGCTGAGTGCTGGGAATCCATCTCATTGGATTTCGTCTTCGGGTTACCCAAAGACGCACGCGGGAATACGGGTATTCTAGTATTTGTTGACAGATTCAGCAAAATGGTACACCTTGTGGCTGTACCAGAGTCAATCACAGCAAGTGGCTGTGCTTGTGTCTTTATCGACACCATCTTCCGACTTCATGGGTTGCCCCGTGAACTCGTATCAGACAGAGATCCACGATTCACTGCTGATTTCTGGCGTTCCGTGTTCAAATCACTCGGAACGCGCTAGAAGATGTCGACATCTGATCATCCAGATTCAGATGGTCAGACGGAATGTGCCAATCGTGTCCTCAAAGAGATACTTCGAGGATACGTACACTCCTTTAAGAGTTGGAGTGAGTTCTTGCCAATGGTAGAGTTTACCATTGACAACTCGGTGCATGCGTCCACGACCCATACAACGTTTTACGTGAATGGCTTGCGCCATCCGCGTGTACCCACATTACTCGAGTGTCACTCTGGTTTTGGGGGGGGGAGAGACTCGCGCGAGCAAAAACCGATTTGGTTCACGCTCATCACGCTCTGACGAAGAGGTCATTGCGTTTGATGCCGAAATCGACAACATCGATATCGAATATGATGATAGTGAGAGTGATGAAGCCCTCACTGAAGAAAAGATTGATGTCGCTGCAGTGCACTCACAGCGCACTGAAGCTAACGAGTCAGCAGATGAGTTCATACTGGCTCGTGAAACGGTAGTCCGTTTAGTGCAAGATTCCATCGCCGAAGCGCTGTCTACGGTTAACCTACCAAAGCATGTAGTGACTAACGTGGGTAGTAGTAAACTTCTACCCAAATGCGTCGGTCCATTTCGTGTATTGCATCGCCTAGGCAACGCATACACGATTGAACTGCCACGTGAGATGCGAACGCATCCCACGTGTTACATTGTTCGGCTTAAGTTGTACCATTAGTACGCTGTTTCTTCCGATGGAGAACACCCTTGCGCTCAAGCATCTCACCGAGAGCCTTGTGCTCCCGATGGTGACAACCAACAAGGGTTTAAAGTGCAGTTTTCTCAACCCGAGACTGGTCAATATCCACACGAGATACCCTTAAAACGTCACGCAGATATGTCAAAGCTCTCTCGTTCTCAGCTGAGCAAAAGTATCCTCAGCTCGATGCTTCAAGACATTTTCCTCCAGTTGAAGGCGCCTGTCCCGCTCATGCTCGACGTCGCCGCGTAACGCAAGGGTTACGCGATTAAAGAGGCTCTCGGAGACACATGCTCCCCCACGATAGTTTGGGGAGCGTCATCCCTCCTCCTTCACCTCCTTTGGAGGACTCTCGCGGTGGCCAGCGCAATCTGATTGAGCGGCTGTTGAACTACCGCGACGTGAACGGACGTCGGACGAGTTACCTCGTCCGGTGGCGTGGCTATCCCCCGTCATGGGATACTTGGGAGCCCCGCTTTCAATTGACGTACTGGGTCTAGTTGACAGTACGTCGCGGCACATCCTGTGCCGCAGAAGGACCGCCGTAGAAAGTCTTCCCGGCACGGTCGTAAAGGGATTTCAGGTTGTCAATCCCTTCGTACATCTCAATAGAGATACGTACGCGCCATCATGGGCTAGTAAGGAGGTAAGCCTTCTTAGGTGCGCGCGCAGAGTTGTTTACACAACAAGGGCACGGATCTCCCCAGGAAAGACAGGGCAACCTACCCTCCTTGGACAGACGATGCAGCTTATAGCGTGCACCTGTCGGGGTTCTTTTTTCAAACTTATCACGAGATTTGATAAGTTTGTCGCTCCAAACGTCACGACCTACATCCTCAAGGTTATGGATGTAGGTGTTCCACGCCTGAAGCAGTGAGGACCAACACGTTTGTGATTTCCACTGTACCATCGATGTCTAAAGAAAGCATCGATGAAGAATTCATGTTCAGCGCGATAGTTTTTCGCGCTGGGGTCAAGGTGATGGATCCTTGACGAATCGAACAATCGTGTTCGATAACGATCACTCGTCGTCGCCGACAAGTGATCCATGACGGATTTTGGAGGCATCCATGCCTTCTTTTCTGGAGCGAGACGCAAGACATTGCGGTCCCGCTCTTCCTGCGACGTGCCGACAGAAGTACTGGCACCTCGCTGCAAAGTCGTGTAAATAGGAGAACCGACACCACTGTTAGCGCCCGAGTCTCGCGACCTCGAGCGCCCTCGCTTCGGCGATGGTTCATCTGATGAATCAGATGAACCAAAGATGCTGCGACGCAAATCATCATCCATGCCACGCTTGGCAGGCGGCTTAGATTCAATCGCCGTCGATACGGATCCGTCATCCGTATCAGGAGAGTACGAGACACCGAGATCGTACTCTGTGAAGACATGAGTGTCTTCATGACCAGCGCCTGCATCACCAAGTGACACAGGCTGAGTAGCTTCAGCAACCGATGAGACATCAGTTGCTGTGGTTTATGCTTCGGCTTCCGCACAGAGACGTGCGGACGCGCTCTCGGCGACCTTGCCCGCGCATCGCATGGGCTTGTTAACCATGCGATGAAATGATGGGAAGTGGACGCGGACCAACAAGTGCAAACCCTATCCCAAATGATTTGGGACGAGTATCCATTTAGTCAATCAGTTACAAACGTGACCAATGGTTAAGGGGGTAGTGATGTAACGGGGTGAATCGTTACATAACAATTTATAAGAAATTGTTAATAGAATATAACTATAAGAGTTATATTCTCAGAATATTGTCATAAGGACAAATATTCTGCAGCACTTACGAGTAGTTCCTAATTGGTTGATATAGGCCATTATATCAACCAACAAAGACGCGCCACGACAGACGCACGCAATGAGTGGTGAGCAGATAGTTGATATGCACATTTGAATTCAGACATAGTTAGATGAGGATAAATAGTGATTTATTGACAAACATTAACTATGATAAATACAGTTCTACTTTTTACTTAAACTAAGTACTCGCTTCTCCTTACCGTCTTCCTCTGCACGTACCAGTGCATGTGAAGTTCCGAGGCATCACCTCATTCTGTCATCAGAATCAGTAGCTTGTACTATCATCAGTACAAGCTTCAGGGTGCCACGTATAAACTTTGGTACACAGCAAGCGAAGTACTGAGTAAAAACTGATTTTGCCAGATCTTGGTGCTGTCGTCTCTAAAATTTGATACGACCAAGACGATGACACGAGGCGTCTGTGCTGCTTTGGTTTGGTACAAGGAATTGATTGCGTGCTGGAAAGTGTCAATGCATCAGCACGACAAGTCAAAAACTGCTATCGATTGTTGTCTTTATAAGTACCGTCGTGATCGCTAATATGTATGCCAATTGATCAATTTTACTTTCAAATTAGAGAATCAAGCTCTGTTGCTCACCCAAACAATTTAGTCCGGGAAACTGAGTAAAGTTGGAATATTCTACGTAATAACAGTCACTGATATTGAGTATTACACTTTTTGTTATGTATGTATTAAACAATAAAGTATGCTAGATCAACGCGATCAGACTTTTTGTAACAAAAATGTACAAAGGGTCGTGATTACCAGGTACATTGGTGTGTTACACAAGAAAGAGATCATATACCCTGATTAAACGTACAATTGTATTACGTATGCTAATCGATAATACATTACTCTATCAGTTACGGTTTAATGATATCTATCGTGCTGGGCTCCTGATTGAGGCGGCGAATTTCTGGTGTGGTGCACAAGAACTACAAATACGATGAGACCCATTTGATCAGGTCGCATAGCGCTAAGATTTTGAAGTTGTATTATTACTTAAAATCAGTAAACATCTTCAGTTTTTATTTTGGTCAATTTCAGGCATGTGTCTTTCTAAGACTTCTCTGGTCGTAAGAATAAAGTACCTGAGCTGAAGCTAAGTACTCTTGGGTATTATTGTCACGTAATTTCTTGGAGCTTTTGTTCCCTGAACTAGTACTAGAAGCTCAAGGGCTAGTATATACACTTAGAGTTAAGTTTTACGAAGTCTGTAAGACTAAGATCGTTTAAGGTATCATCCATTCAATTTGATATACTAAGAGGCTCTACAATTCTAAAAGTCTTTCTCTAACTAAACAGTTAGCTTTGTTCCGACACATCTTGCTTATGGGCAGTCAGTATCTGATTATGTAATCAGTTTTACCTTCTATTAATTTCAGGCCAATCTTAGGAGTGTGCCACAAGAGTGACCTAGCCGAAGAGTAACTGAGAGTATGCCTATCTGCCTAAGCGGGTACACGCCAGTTCGCACTCAGAACGTGTACGATTAATCTAGCCACTTTTTTGACACACTCACTGACAGATAAAGAACGATTAAGAAGTTCGGTATTCAACCTTGGGCGCACTCACTAATAGCCTTACGCTTCGATTTGCAAATGCATCTGTTTTTATGCAATTTCTTACACATTTAAAACACTGCGCACAAGTATAATGGACCCCAAGACCTCCCGTCAGAGCAATCCAATGAGATTTTGACGTCCAGTGCTAATTTTTAACGGATTGTGCAGCTGTAATGGCTATATATATTTTTTGAATAAACTAGTTTGGACCTAAGGCTCAAGTAAAAAAACTAACTTTGTAAAATGCTAGACTGGAGCAGCTAATAATGAGTAAAGTGAAGAATGTATTCCCAGCATCGACCTTACTAAAAAAAATAAAAAGTACAAGCTATACCTGAAGAAAATGCACGTCCTGTTAACGAACTGGGTCAACATTAAGACTCGAAAGTATGAAGTACTTCATTTACGTAAGAACAAGACACTAGCAGACCAAAATGTATATAACTGATTCGCTCAGATATGCCTCGACATTTTGCATTTACACGATCCCCCCGATTTAGCTATGTAGTTTTTTAAGTTCAGCTTTCTTATGGTCATCTCACTGTATAGGAAGAGGTAATGTTATAGCGCTTAAGTCGATTCTACGTGTTTGTACTCGGGTATCAGCAATGGTCCAGTGCTACCCAGACTTAATGCGTGTAAGGGTCCTACTCCACAATTTAATGGGCAATTATATTTCAGCAGGTTCTGTGCCTGGATAGCGGGTACATCATATTTCATTAGTATTGGTTCATTATGGGGGATCAAAGGCCTACTATGGACATATAGATTATTTATCAATAAGTAGATCTTGAAAGGCGCGAGCACGAGATTATGCATTGAAAATAGCGAATTTACAATCAGTACGAACTTGAACAAAAGCATAAATTTAAAGTCAAATTTACTTAATGCTTAAGAATTGGGCTTAACTTTCTTTTAGCGGGCGTGTAAGCTAATAACAAGACGTTTTAGTCCTTCCAATGCCCAAGTTTGAGATATGTGAATCGGTTTACTTCAATTGTCCATTTTTGATCATAAACCTCGCGACCTTTCCTTATCTCACTCTTGCTGAGTGAATAAACCAGTGTTCCCTTGCGGTAATTTCGGAAGAGGCGTTCATCTTGTCGATAAAAATAATCAGCGTACTTTGATGGGCAGCGCCTCGCAATTAATGAGTTCATGGCACGCGAGCTCCCCTAATATAATTAGTGAGGTTTTACTCCATCTCTATCTTCACGGAATCGTTCCGTGAAGATAGAGACCTCGTTATACTTTATACTAGGTACATTCCAAATGTTGCTGAGTTGTTTGTGCCATAATATCGACATTGCCATCTTCTTAATAAGCCTTGAGGCGCCCCAGGCAAGGTTCAACTTTCTCCTTGCGTTTCATTGGGAAAGTCAAGGAACGGGACATTGGTAAGCTCGACGGGGACGAGAAATCGTTTTCACCCAAAATGAAATCCAAGATGATGATTTTCTTGCTATTCAGCCATTACAAGTAGATATAAAGGTGCTATCAGTGTTTTTGTCCAGTAGACAGGTAAAAGTGTAGTCGCAAAACTAAGTGAAGATGGCTCAAAACCTGGCGTCGTGCATCATCCCGTAATCCGTGGACTTGTACACGCGCGTAAATATCGTTGAGGGTGGAATGCGTGAGGGGCAGACTGGCTTATCACTTTAACGTGTGGAGACTGTTACAATCAAAGACTGATATTAAACTGACCTAAGCGAGAAGTATAGGTCACCAAATAATGCATTAGGACTTCGGGGATCACAGTCGCCCGGCCTTCCGTTTCGGAACCGATGATTATTGGCACGGGAGAATCGTCGGTTGACTGACGACGAGTGACCTTCAACAAAGGCGACACCCTTACCGGGCGCCAAAATGGTTCGCTTTATTTGATAAAATACAAAACTTCGCTCAGATCAATGCCGCGCACCAGCGCCGTTATTGGTACACGAGGTGAGAGCGCATCGTAAAGGCGATGCAACGGCCTATCGTCCAGATAATGGCTCTATGTAGTAGGCGCAGAGTGACCTACTAGTGTTGACGGATGTCAGGGTCCCACAGTGGCATAGCATTCGATCTTTTCTGTGTGACGTACCGGCGACGTGTTAATAACAACAATAAGACGTGATTTTCTGC